TAATCAGAGCTCCTGATGGTGGAGATGAGTTTCACTGTGTGCTAATGTGATGTTGCGGCCCTCCGGATTGCCAAACAGGTAAACAGCAAATGGGTCAGGTAATTGAAGAAGCAGTTAAGGAAAAAGCAGAATCGTAGTCAGTGAACAACATGTAGTAGCTGGATGGGATCAGATGGAAGCAAAGTCGATGAACAAACCTACGGTCACTAATTGATAGTAGTGAAGATAAGGATAGTAGCAGGTATACAAGGAGCAAGATGCCAACTGGAGAGAGCACAATAATCTGGTAAACCAGAAGTGTAAAGATGTGTCCTAAATCAGGAACTTTGTTGAAGGAGCAATGGCTCAAAGGAAGTGAGATAAAAGGCAAGGTTGTCCAAGAGATCAGGCAAGGAGCTGTCCAGCAACTCAGTTGGCACAACAAGAAGAGCTACAGCCAGACACTGCTGAAGTCCCAGGTTCAGATCTGGACTTTGACACAACCATTCATTCAAAGATCCCAGCTTCAGCTCCCTCCCATTGTCCCAATTTGTCAGAGGGGTGTGGCCAGTGGGTGGGGACTGAGTTAAAGCAGGAATCTTTGATTGATTTAAATGGTTGGCATTGACTGAGTGTGAAAAAAGAACCAGCAAACACAAATGCTCCTGCGCTTGGGGATGGACTCGATGCTACAACCACATTAAGAATGTCCTGGAACATGCACACCTTGCTGCCCTCAAATGGACCAGGGGAATCCAAATATACTGAATGGGGAAAGAACAAAAAGAGGGCGCACAGGCCTAGTGCATTACCATAAAAAATGTTTAATAAAAAATAATAAAGTAGGTGTTGTACTCACAAACGACAATATAGTCAAGGCACATCATAAAAGAACAGCTGGATCAACACCGCGCTGAGTAACAGTCCGCAATAGGGAGTTTAGACATCCAAAAGGCTGACGCGTTTCGAGGACTTGCCTCTTCCTCAGTTGGCTCTGAGGAAGAGGTGCCTGCTTAGAAGGTACCTCTGTGACTGAAGTTACCTATGTATTTGCGGTGTCAACAGGTACATTATCAAAGGTTATGACGGAATATACAGCTTCCGGGAAAACTCTGTCTGATAAGCATAGGCTTGATCGACATGATCAACTGACCGAAACAGACAAAAGGACAACTGCTGTGAAAGCGACTGCAGAACTCAATCTCAGTGTTTACAGGACTTAAATTGAGCTCTGCAGTCATTTTTGAAGCAGTTGTTTTCTTCACAAGGTCACTTGGTTGCAGAATGTCCTTTTGTCTCTTTCAGTCAGCTGACCATGTCAACCGTGCTTATCAGATGACGTTTTCCCAGAAACTGTATATGCCGTCATAACCTTTGATAATGTACTTCGCAATACAAGGCAGGATGGATCCTTGCTTTCATGTTGTTTATGTCGAGTTCTGACCCTACCATCTAAGTGTCACAGCTGAAATCGAAACCCATCAGACCAGGCAGCATTTTTCCAATCTTCTATTGTTCAATTTTGGGAAGACTGTGCAAATTGTAGCCTCCATTTCCTGCTCTTACCTGACAGGAGTGGCACCAGGTGTGGTCTTCTGCTGCTGTAGCCCATCTGCTTCAAGGTTCAACGTGTTGGGCTTTCAGAGATGGTATACTGTATACCTTGGTTGTAACAAGTGTTATTTGAGTTACTGTTGCCTTTCTATCATCTCAAACCAGTCTGCCCATTCTCCTCTGACCTCTGACATCAACAAGGCATTTTCATCCACACAACTGCCATTCACTGGATATTTTGTTTACACACTGGTTGTGCGTGAAAATCCCAGTAGATTAGCAGTTTTTGAAATACTCAGACTATCCCGTTTGGCACCAACAATCATGCCACGTTCAAAGTCACCTAAATCCCCCTTCTTCCCCATTCTGAGGCTCAGTTTGAACTTCAGCTAGTCATCTTCACCACATCTAGATGCCTAAATGCATTAAATTGCTGCCATGTGATTGGCTGATTAGCAATTTGTGTTACCGAGCAATTGAATAGGTGTACCTAATAAAGTGGCCAGTGAGTGCATATACACTGTATATTCATATGGCTGTTTCTGCTCTCACCTATATGGTCTTTATGGGGTTTATGGCCAGATCTGTGTAACATCAGGTCAACCAAGTCAAGACTGGCAGCTTTATTGCTTTGTCCCCTTGAACATAATATGTAATACATAATACAGATATGTTTCTTTCAATTAGAACCTGTCATTTGGAGTTTTGAAAGGTCGAAGGTATTTTAGGAGAGCGATATTAAAGTGTACATACAGCCAATACTTTTGTTAGTTTAAGTTGGGGTAGAAATTAATTAAAACCCTGTTTTATTTTTTGCTGTATGTTTCTCATTGGGGAGATTTCACTGTACTTCCTCCCTGTTGATGTAACAAGAAGTCGGAGGGAAATCTCTACAAAGATAGCATAATTGTCTCTTTGACAATTGTCATTCAGATGTCTTAAACTCTAAATTTTGAAATTTCCCATCACGTTCTGTTTGGGTGACACTTGTTACCAGGACAAATGGAAAGGCTGTGTCACTTCTACATCCTGTAGTGGGTGAGGTTAGAGGGAGGAACCAGTAAGATTTGCTGGAAACCCAGGAGATCAACAGTGCTGCGTGTGTTTTTCTTTGGACCTCAGCAGAAGATTTCCCAGCATTGGTGCAATGTTCTGCAGTTAGGGCAGTAGGAAAGGTGAGTATGTACATTCTCTTTTACAGTTATGCAATGGTTTTAACAATTGGATGTTGGCATTATCAAATCTCACTCCAAATCTCATAGGACTAGCAGTCAGAGGCATAGTGATTTTGATGATGTTATTCTACGAATATCAGCTATGAAACTGAAGGCACGTGAGGACTTTTTTAGTGGTAGTAAAAAAATTAGCTATTTTTTAGGAGTAGCAAAAAGTAAATCTTTCAAGGTACTACTTAGACACAATAAATATTTCTAGATGTTCCTTATAGGATAGCAAAGATTCACTTTTTGAGTTCCGGTCCACTTTAAATGGTAACATGTTTGGAATTGGATAAGTAAGATAATAAAACCCCTGGTAGTAGACAACTCTTCTTCTAGCATAAATCAATAGTGTATAAATAATTGGCTATATTAACCAAGTATTTTGCGATGAGGATCACATTTTCTTTTGCATCTGTGCTTATATGTGCCATTTATTATTAACATCATTCGATAAAGTATATGGAAATGTAAGAAACCTGGAGGACATATAAAAGCTTCAAAGCACATCTGTTCTCTTGGCTTCCAGTTGTAACATCCTGATGAAATAATCAATCACCTTACTTTTTTTTTAACTCATCCATATGTTAATTTGCTAAGAGTGGGCTAATGGTGAGTTAGAGGAACAGTTTTCAGATTTGCAGCTGAGCTCTTGAAAGATATTTTCATCCCCCTTCACAGTGTTCTCATGTGACAAACATTCCTTATTTGTGCCAAAAACAGGAGAAACAGGAGAAAAAAATCTATAGTGATTAATGAATACTTTTTTTTTACTAAAGAAGGCAAATAGGACAGGTATTCGGTTGTATTATAGAAACAGCTGCCAAATTTCAGTTTCCTCCCACCACCCAGTCTTCTAATTGGACAGGTAACCAGCAGGAGCAATTTGGCAAGGTTTTCTGTACCTTCTCCCCTCTTTTAGGCAGGTTCCTTCCAAGTATCTCATCCTATTGATTAATGCAGTGAAGCCTACTTGGGTCACAGTGTCGCGCCTTCTCTAATTAATCTTCCTGCGTACAAGAGATTATGGGAAGCCAATTTAAAGATACATTATAATAGTAGTAAACAAAATAACGATATTAATTCAATATAAAACCAGATTAGAGTGTGTTATATACGGTATACTTGCTTTGAGTTCAGCAATAAGGGAAACACATGTTACATGAGTGTGCTTTCTAGTATGGAAACTTACCAAAGAGAGGGCTTCTCAATGTTACAATACAGAAGGAGCCTGCAGAATGGTTCACTTTTGCATTAAAGCATTTAGCAGTTAATGGTAACAAAATACTATCAGATTTTCTAATTTTGCTGAAACTGCTTTTTATTTATAAATTAAACATTTTAACAAGGCATCATTATTCACACTGATTGTGTCTGATCTTTCAGGTGAATCAGGTAGATTAGGTTCTTTGTCATCTTTTTCATTTAATGGTCCAACAAGCACATCCCTAAGCATAAGCAGCTTTCAGCCCTCCCACAAATTCCTACAGGTTTCAAACAAATCTTAAATAAAGGCACATAATCCATCTAGAGATCACAAGCAAAAGATTAAATGTAAACACAGTAAGAAAGCATTTATTTTGTATGTATATTAGTGCTGCTTGTCTGAAGACAAATTATGAGAAATCTTTACATTCTATAAAGCACAGAGTTGTGTACTATCGACTCATCGTGGGTGGGAAACACTGATTAAGAAGATTCTCCATCTGTGTAGGGTAAATATCCCACAGATGGGTTAGTGTTACATTGAAATGAACTGGCTGGCCACACATGGATTCTGTATGTTGTGTACACACATAGCTGGTTGATAAAGGGTAGTGACATTTAGACATGTGTGATTTGTTTTGTTACGAATCGAAATTCAGATGACATTTTGATGATTTGGATATTTGGATGTATCGAAATCTCCAAATTCCAATAGCAATAAATGTCAATGAACTCGAAATAAGTTATAACAAAAACAACAAACTAATTTGTATTCATTTGTTTCATTCGGATGACATGATGCGATAGTTTGGGCCTTTTGGCAATGTTTGAAGCATCCAAAATAACATAACAACATTTTCATTGTTATAAAAAATACAGTACATATGAAATGGAGACATATGCTTTGATAAATGATTGATTTTGTTTTCCTGATCAATCTCGAATGATATGAATAATCACTCTATAACTAACCACCCAACTAATTTATATGCCACACACAAGGAAGTTAGTTTCGATCAATAATTAAAATGCTACTAACCCCAGGACCCTGCATTCACAATATCTGGTCTCCCGCAGTACACAGAACATACAAGTGCAATTATTTTAGTAAATATAAACTGCTAAATACCTTTTCTCATCAGCAGTTAGAGCAGTCTTCTGACTTCTATCAGTGTCCAGCAGAGCACTGGTTAAAGCTTGTAGGAGGAGTTTTCATTCTCCCCTATGAGGCTGCAGGACCCCGGACCCTCTGTCTGGACAGTGCTGATTGACCCTGTGATGATCACATGCACTCTCCCCAGAAAAATAAACTCTCTATCAATACACACCAAACTGAGCATGTGCAGCTGGTCTCCAAGCCTCTGTTCTATCAGGAGTTATATTGGGGACAATGGAAGAAGGGGGAGGATCAGAGAAGACAGGATTAAACACCCTTTTTACACAATGCGGAGGCTACACATTGAGTATAACAAGCATGCTTTACTGCATATACAGACTGATTTTACTGTTGTGGGTTTAGTAACACTTTAAAGGATTGTAAGTAATTGATCGTATCTCTGTTTCCACTCATGCATTCTTATAACTTGATCAATGGACATATGATCGGATTCATGAATTAAGCATCTCAGTGCTGCTGATCAATGCAACACGATTGCTAATTTTTCTGCCCTGGCCAGTTGACTTGATTAAATCCACTCTAAATCGGGTCTAAATTGATCAGAGGGGGAGTTATAGCTATTTAAAGTGATTGTAAAGGCTGAAGGTTTTTTTACCTTCATGCATTCTATGCATGAATGTAAAATATCTTGTGTGTGCTGCTCCCCTTACAGCCCCCCACCTAATACTCACCTGAGCCCCCCTTGATCCAGAGATGTGCTCAGGAACCTCGGCTGTCCCGGGTTTCTCTCTCCTCATTGGCTGAGACACAGCAGTGGGTGCCATTGGCACCCACTGCTGTTCGTCACAGCCAGTGAGTCAATGTGGAGATAGTGGGGGGGGGGGTTTATGGACACATAGGCTGGGGCTCAGAAGCAAGCACACAGCAGTGCCCCCATAGCAAGAGGTTTGCTACTGGGGGCTCTGGTCAAGGGGGAGGAGCCAGGAGCACCGGCGGAGAACCTGAGAAGAAGAGGATTGGGGCCACGCGGTGCAAAACCATTTGACAGAGCAGGTAAGTATGACATGTTCGTTTTTTTTTTTCTTTAAAGATGAAGCTTTAAAATAACTTTAATTATTTGCCATTCCAATCATTTTGATCAAATTGTACATAGATCAGATTAAAAAAAAAATTAAAGTATGTGGCCACTATTAGGCTTTCCAAAACTATATAATAGAAGGACAGTCTGACAGTCTAAAAAAATCCCTTCAGTTTCTATCAAATCAAGAAGGCCTATGCGCTATATAGTTGATAATAGATCTAAAGAAGATTGTACAAACAGATTGTATAGTGTATGGTCACCTTAAGACAGCTAAGAAAACTCTCCTTACTGCATAGCCTGCTAATCGGGATCTCTGCCTAGCAACAATGATGTTAGGAAGGTCCTCCTGCATGGACATAAGCTTTTCTTGACTGGAAATATCACAAGAGGTACAGGGTCAGTGCGAACAGCAATCTCTGGAATCCCTAATGATACAGTACTGGTTTTGTGCTACGTTCACATGCACACAGATTTTGTTTAATTTGCTTACTGAGGTTCCCTTTCACCACCAGGCACCATAGCAGCTGTCGGCTGCTATGGCTATAGTTAGGTCAGTGGAAACAAACAGTAGCTTGCACATTATATATTTGTAAATTGCATTCATTTTTTTCTGTTAAATGTGCGTTTTCCTATGATGTTTTTCATAGTCCTATTACATTTTCATACTTAAATAGAGCATTTTCACTTTAAGATGACTGCAGTTGTTTCCAGCATTAATGCTTGTAAATCACTGTTGGTCTGTCTGTTTTAAGCCAGATGGTGCGTCTAGTAAAGCTTAGAAATTTGCTGAACGGTAGCTCAGCATTTTAATGTACTTGAGTGCTAGGGTGTTACACACATGGAAATATGGTCTTTTTATATTAACTTTCCCATAAAGCAAAGTTCAAGCTGTCATTAAGGAAGATTTCCCATCTAATGTGTTTGATTGTGTCAATTCTTTAAAGCTAAAACTGCAGTGTGACGATGATGGGACTTTTGAAGAATGACAGGAACCACTCAAATCTTTATATCTCTGCTTGAATTAAGGCAATTAGCATTTATTTTAAGAAACATTTAAACTCAAATATGTATATATAGCACAGTTTCATCTATGTAAATTCCTTAAGTTATTTTCTCTGAAGTAATTTTCAAATAGCAATGTACTGCACTGGATGTATCCAAAATGGGTGTATCAAGGATTTCTACAGCTTTTTAGGAAAAAAGTTTACTGCAAATCAGAATTTTAGATAATACATTCCAAACTGATTTTGCTGGCTTTTTACAGTGAAGAGTTGTAGTCTCTTGTCATATGACTGTATGGTGTGCAACCTCCCTCTCATGCTTCGTTGTGGCTTAGGCTTCAGAAGGTATAGAGAGGAGTGGTGTTGGGACCAGGCAAGACATTGCCTTGCATCTAAGTTTTTTTTCCAGATTCTGGGCCTTCAGGAAGGAAGGATTTGAGTGTCTGCTACAGTAGTTTGGCTAGCAGAATACACTTTGCAAAGATTTCCCATTATTTCCTGTCACGGACAAGAAGTGTAGGGAAACCTCTCTGACAGAGAACAATACAAAAATTGACAAAGGGGCTAACCCTTCCTGATCTAACCAAAAATACTCTAATTTCTTGTGAGCTCAGCCTGTCATTTACACCTACTCCCCAAGAGCGTGTTATTACAAAGGATGGGCTCACATTACTCCAGGACTGAGCAGAGTTCACATGAGCACCACTCACTCCTGGAAGAATACCTGTCCCCTGCTACCTATGGAGGAAGAAGAAGAAATCCTTTTGGCATCATTAGACTGACAAATGGACTGCAGGAAAAAAAGGTATGTATAAGAGCTTTTGAAATAAAAAATACTGTGGACGGGTAACCTACCTGGAGTTGCACTCTAACTGAAATATATTTTTAAAACAATACATAAAGCCTACACATGTGATGAGAAGCCCAGTGCACATGATGAATGCCATCCTTCCAAGGATTGATAATGCCATTATCAATAGAAACTTTCACCTATGAATAGATCCAAGAGTTGTTTATATAACATTTTTTTTCTACTTTTGGCATATTATGTGAACTATATTGGTTCACAAAAATGGTCAAAGTCAATGGTGGAAATCAGAAGTTCATATACACCTAAGCTCCAAAGTGACTGGTGCCATTAGATGTAGACATCTGCACACTGGACATTTTTGTTTCGCATGCATTCATTCATTGAAGAATTTTGTTTTGTCTTATTCGTTTCATTGAACTGATTTGTTTTTGGAATTACTTTTATATTTTTGGCATTTGTTTCCTATTTTTGATGGTCAGGGTGGATTCAAATAATTTTTCAGTTTTTCCAAAAGATTGCTATATATTATCAAATCGGACAGATTCGAATCGGAAGGTTTTGATATTTTTGGGATGCTAGTCCAACCCACCAAGAGAAAAGGCATGATTGGAGCTGTTTGGACATTATCAACTGGTGTTATGTGCATCTGAATTAACGAATGGAGCAAAATTTGGATCTATTCATTATCTGAATCCAAATTATCAAGTGAATTAGAAAATTGAATTAATTTCCCCATGGGGCTAAACTACTGTTGCATCATGTGATGTCATTCCAAAAGAAACATATTAACTGTATGCATTTGGTTATTTTGTTGTAACTTTTTTCCGATTCATTCCTTACTTTGCCCATTCGGAGATTCGTATACATTCAAAATGGCATTTTCATCCAAAAAACAAATTGTAATGAAATGAAACACATGTCTAATTAGATGCCTAACAGTGCAGAGGCTCTGAATGTTAATGTTCTGTTTTTTTGAGTTTTCCTTGTTGCATGTAGACTAGCCCCAGTTATGCAGTATATCTCTGAGGAATTGTGTATAGAGGAAGTATAAATGTACTTACTTAAGAATCCTTCTGTGCTTTAAGAATATTTGTCTGTTTTTTTTTTGTTTATTTTATAATGTAGCCAATGTTGTCTGACACTGTCAAGCGATACAGTGACTAGTAATCTTTAAAAAGGTACTGTATTCATGTAAGCAACAGTAACTTGTAATCTTTAAAAAGGTACTGGTTTCATGTAAGCAAAGGTACTCTCTAAATTTCTAACATTTTTACAAATAAACGCAATAAGGAAAGATGTTCCAAAAGAAAATAAAAAAAACACCTTAAATATGTGATTCAAATTAAAGTTAAAAACATTAAAATCTGTATTACATTTTATATGCTGCTTTGTATGTCTGTTGTTCAGTATTTAATAGGTAAGATCATGGCTCATTAATTCAGTGATTTAAAGTAATTTCAGTTTTTTTTTTTTTACTTTTGGAATATTAACACCAGCTAGCTAGCAGGTCTTAACCCCTTGTTTTAGCATTCATTAGCATTGCTGCTTTTTCATTGCCCTGCTCCATGAAATCTCAGTAGACTTACATTGGCTGATTTATGGTAATTTCATCCATTACAGATGGTCTGACAGATTGTGTAGATCCTGATTGCTGCCAGCAAGCCAATTGCTTCTCCAGTCCTCTCTGTCAAGGTTCACCTGACCCATTAGACCTCATCCAGCAAAGCCAGCCACCCTTTTCCCAGCATCCTCCGAGACTCTTCTATGACAGGATTAGATTTCTTATTGGCAAGGATGGTACTCATGTCATTCCTGGAGAAATCAGCCTTGACAGCAGGTAGGTATGGCCTTACATGTATGACATCATCAGGACACAGTGATCACAGACAAGTATGACAGCACTTTATCATATATTGACAAACATTTCTCTCCTCAGAGATGGTTTAATGGAATAGCATACTTGTTCATGATTTTCTAGCATATAAATAATTCAAAATAAACACAAACATTTAATGTGACTGAAATCTCCAGTGCAGAGAAAGCCGTCCGTTTACCTCTTCGTATTGTTACTTTTTTCTCATTG